GTGGCCCAGGAAGTCGAGCGGAGGCTGAGAACTCGACCTGCCTCTCGGGATCTCAGGTGCGCTCCCTGGGGAAGCCTGGAACCAGGACAGGAAGGTGGCCCAGGAAGTCGAGCGGAGGCTGAGAACTCGACCTGCCTCTCGGGATATCAGATGCGCTCCCTGGGGAAGCCTGGAACCAGGACAGGTCCCAGACGGTAGGCGCAAGCTCCCCTGGATGCGCCCAGAAGCACACTGTGCTGTCTTTGCAGCCTCTCAGGAGAGTGTGCCTAACATCCGGATTTGGAGGCCACCCGCGGTGACCAGACAGAACTTGGGTAGCCAGAGCCACCTCAGAGTTCAGATGACTACAGGTCCCATGGTTAAGCCACAAGGCCCCCGTCTCAGGATTTCTGCAGAGAGTCACCAAGAAGCTGCGCCTCTTGACACTCCTCGTCCCTCCCCCACTTACCAGGCTGAAAAGGCAGGGGGGAAGCAGCAGCGGGGTGTTCTTTGCCCTCAGGCCACCCTCCCCCAGTAGTCCTCCCACCTGTCTGTCCTCTCCTGTCCCCTTCTTCTCTCAAACCCCAGGGCACAACATGGTCTGTTCTCACCCCAAAAACATTTTCAAAACCAAAGGGATAAAGAGAAGGGGCTTCCCAAAGTCCCTGGGGGGAGAGCAAGCAAACTGGCCAGCGATGATAAGAACTGAGACACGTAAGCCTCGCCACTACCCCAGTCCAGATGTGTTCTCTCGGGGCTCCTCTGCCCAGATCACGCCCAGCCACTCCCTCCAAGTTCAGGGAAAGGAGCTGGGGTGGGGTGAGGGAGAGAGGAGGGGAGCTGTGGAAAGCGAGGGAGGACCCACATTACCTTTTGGGGAAGCTGTCCCTGGGCCAAAGTCCACACTGTCACGCCCTCCTGGCCAGCCCAGGGCAGTTTCTATGCCAGAGGGCACAGAGGCAGGGCGGCCACCCCCAAGGTTCCGAGGGGCCCGATCAAGCAGCCTCCCTCCACTGCTGCCCCTCACTCCTGCAGGAAAATCTCCACCTAAGCGAGGCACTCTCTCCCACCTGCCAGAGACTGGCAGAGCCCTGCTGTCCCAGCTGCCCGTGCCCTGGGGGCCCACGGCTATAATTAGGGCCCCTCCAGCAGCCAGCAGACATGCAAGGCCCGGGCTTGGCTAGCGGATGGCAGAGCGCGGCCGCTGGGCCTATTTTGAGAGTGAGCTGATCCCGGTACTGCGGCGGCAGGACAGTCAGCTGACCCCACAGCAAAGCGGAGAGGGGGCTGGTGCTGACCCCTCTCTGGTCAGCCCAGAAGAGGCTTCTGGCTGTGCATCCGGAGGCAAAGAGAATAGGAAGCCACAACCCCTAGAAACAGCCAGGATCCCCTTCTCCTCAGTCCTCGAGTTCATCTAGCATTCCCAAACCTCTCCCACAGACCATCATCCGGGGCCTGGCAGGATAACCAGTATATTGACTGCAGCCTGAACCTCCTCCCTGCCTGCGAAACCCCTCTCCTTCCCTCTGCAGCCATTCCTCAAGGTCACATCACAAGGGCCACCTCCTCCAGGAAGGACTCCTGGGATGTGCCGGTTCCAGTCCTGGTTTTGCTACTCGCAACACCTCGACCCCTGGGTGCCTCCTCAGCGGAGAGCGGAACACAGCTTCACTTGTGTGATGTGTGTACACACTGTGTGCTTTTTGCTACGTGACACTAAGGCTTCTGCACTGGAACCGGGCTATGCAAATAGGATTTGCATGCACAAATATCTCCGTGTACCAGTCACCGTGTCAGTCACTTGGAACAGGGAAACCGGAACTGAGAAGGCTCCCCCAGCTAAAAAGATGACAAGGATGAAGAGGAAAGCATTTATCACACGCTGGCTACTGTACCATGCACTTTACTTGCAACGTCCCAGGAGTTCTCCAACGGCCCTACAAGTGAGGCCCAATTACTTCCCAAGGTTCCACCTACAGTTAGGGTGAGTGCGCCCAAGCCCATGCTCTGAACCCTACACTGTAGCGTCTTCTCCCAGATGCCGTGATCCTGACCATGAAGGTGCCATGAGCCTCTGTGGGGCATGGGGATGGGGAGCACGGAGAGGAAATCTCCACAGGGCTCTAGGCAGGGACCAGCCCTTTGGGATTCGAGGCTGAATCTAAGACAGGGTGTGGAAGGAGACCCACAGAGCAGGCAGGCCGCGGCAGGGCAGGCCAGGCCAGGCTCTATGCCGCTGAGACTCTACGGGAAGAGAGGCTCGGGCCAATGTTGTGGGGTCTGCCCGGGCTGGAGCACTGGATAGCATGACCCCCTTGGCAGCAGTATTCATCGAGGCCCGCGGGGCGGAAGGCGATGGTAAAACTCCAAAGCCGTTGGAGGCAGCCATCCCCTGCCTCCAAAGAGTCTCTCCTGCCCTGGTGGTTGTTCGATGAAAAGCTTTATGTACCGCTTTACTGCTCTGTAACTTACACAGGTGTGAAGACGGGAGAAGGGCCTGCCTTCCCAGCTGTCCGTCTGTTAAATACCCCACCTCTTGCAGTGTTTGCACAGACTCTGCCTCGGCCTATTTTGGCAAACTTGGCCTCCCCGAGGACCCTGTTCGGCCTCTAATCTGCACTCCAAATATTGAAGTTCCAGTTCTGCTCTGCAAATAAGGACTCAGACACAGCCAGTCTGGGGAAGTGAAGCTGGGGGCAGCAAACAAGGGGCTTTCTGGCAGTCTGGAGGGAGGGCAGGGCGCAGCACAGAAAGGGCACAGGGCGGGCACACACCTGCAGTGCATCCCCCCGACACGTGCTTGCCTCCATTTCCCTCCTGCCCTGCCTGGCAGACGCCTACCTTCCCGACAGCAAACGCTGGTCAATAAATGCTGATTAATACCATCCTGTGCTTGTGGTTTCCTACTTATATTTATACTCTATCTCATTTCAATGCCACAACGGCCTCTGAATTAAACAAATGGCCCCATTTTACAGTTTGAGGCACAGAGAGGCCAAAGAGAATGTAGGACTAGAGACAGAGCTAGAAAGAGAGGCCTATTCCTGTGGCTCCCAGCCCACTCTTCTTTCCTTTAGACAACCTCCCCTTTCCCACCTACAAGGAAAAAAAGCACAGCTCCTCTCCCTATTAGATGGAAACTTTGGGAAGAAGGGAGAGGATGAGAATCCCTCAAACTAGTTAAACCTTAAAAGGGAGACAAGATCAGGACGATGAATTATTATGAAAGCCAACCACTAACTTTTATATGATCCTTTACGGTTTACAGAGAGAGCCTTTGTGCATTAGAAATGGTACTTGACCCCAGCTAAGGGTTAAGGAAGCGGAGACTCAAGAGGCTGAGGGTCTGTGTAGGTAGGGTTCATGGTGGAGCCTGGTTTACTGCAGGTGTGGGCCCCTCTGCGGGGTCTGCAGGGGCGGCCCAGGGCCCAGGGGGAGGGCTTACTGCTGGTCCCAGATGATGAGGTGGAAGAGGTACTTGGAAAAGTGAGCCCTTCGGGTGTACAGGGGGCTGCATAGTTCCTTCCCGCCATGGCTGAGGGAGCAGGAGAGGTAGAAATCTTCATAGCTGCAACAGAAAGAGAGGAAGGACGCTCAGCTTCCAAACCCCATCACAGTCACCCAGCCTACGCCAAGCTCCATTTCTCCTGTGAAGACTCCTCCCTGTTCCCTGGGGGCTACAGCATGGGGTCACCGGACAGGACAGTCAAACTGGATTTGAGAAAGCTTCAGGAGAAGCAAATGGATCTGGATCCCTCCGCCCACCTCCAGGCTCCATGCTGGGCCCACCGTTTTTTCCTCCCTTCTTTATTGGGGACCAGCCCGTGCAGCCGCCTCCTTACAGTTGGTGGGTAACTGTGTGCGCATGCACAAGCAACAAGGGTGGGGGGGGGTGAAATCGACATATGCCGACGTGAATGCCAACACATGGGGGTCCCTGTGGCTCGTGACAGGTGCCTGACAGAAGAGGTCAGAGAAGGCCCTGGTTTCCCAGGCTGCCTCCTTTGTTCTCCGCCAATGGCCCAGAGGAATACATTAAGTGAGGAACAAAAAGAGAGGGGGAAGGGGGGGTGTCCGGAAAGGAGGGAGGTGGAGCCAAATGCCTTTTCCCCCAGGCCCTGGATGCCAGGGACCAGGCGGAGGAGCTGAGGATTACCAAATGAAGGCTCCCCCTCCACCCACCCGTGCAGGCCTAGGGAACTCCCGACAAAGGGTCATCTCCCACCTCCCCACCCCCCTCCCATTGTGCATCTGCAGGGAAGTGCAGTCATTGGCCTCGGGGCAGGCACTCAATCTGGGAAGCCGCCATCTGTCGCAGTGTCTCCATCAGCTGGCCTGGGACGGGTGGGGGGCAGGGATGCCAATGCAACCAGCTCTGAGAGGGCCTGGGAGGATCTGACCACTGCAGCCTCCTCTCTGATCCCAGGGGACCTCCTGCCTCTCCTTGGGATGTCCCTGCCCACAGTCCCCCACCATCAGGCATTTGGTGAACCACAATGCCTCAGACCGTCCACTCAGGACAGTGGGGTTGCACACAGACAGGGAGAAGCCATCTGAAAGTCAAACTCCGCTCGCTCCCTTAGAGGACATTCAGCCCTGGGCTCACCTGGTAGCCCAGGTGATGGGGATGCGGTGGGTGGCATAGACAGTGAAGGCCAGGGGCCCAGAGAAATGGCAGGCCTCCTGGACCAGATCGTGCTTGCGGCTCCCATGCACGGCCGTCTGGAAGTCCGCATCGAACGTGCTGCAGTATAGCTCCACCAGGTCCAAGATGGCGGCTGTCAGAGCTTCCACAACCTTCTCTGTGAAAGGAACGGGTCAGAAGGAAAGGTCACGAGGCCTCAGCAAGCCCCATCCTGTTGCCATGGCACTGGCGAGGATGGTGTACCCCAGGGCAGTAGTCCCCAAATGCCAGTCAGTTTCCAACAGCCATGACAAGGTTCACCCAGCTGTGGTGAAATGAGGGGAAAAAAAGCAGAATCATGTCATGCGCTTCTCACAAAATGATACTCAATTTTATTTTATTATTACTTTTTTAAATGTCAGTGTCTCCTCAGTTTTGTTTTTTAAAGACTTTATTTGAGAGAGAGAGCGAGCGTGAGAGAGAGAGTGAGAGCACACAAGCGGGGGGAGGGGTAGAGGGAGAAGCAGGCTTCTTCTGGCTGAGCAGGGAGCCCGATGCAGGGCTCGATCCCAGGACCTGAGCCGAAGGCAGATGCTTCACTGACTGAGCCACGCAGGCACCCAATACTTAATTTTAAACATTCTCCTTATTTTTACATAGGGCTATTTATTTTGTGTTAAATGTCTTTTCTTTTGGGAAATAGTGGGGAATAATCATTAAATGATCATTTAAAAGTCATTGCTTGGCAAAAGAAAAGCAGACAATTTCTATGTTGGTCCCTAAAATAAATGCTTTGTTCAGGGCGCCTGGGTGGCTCAGTTGGTTAAACGTCTGCCTTCAGCTCAGGTCATGATACCAGGGTCCCAGGATCAAGCCCTGCATGAGGCTCCTTGCTCAGTGGAGAGCCTGCTTCTCCCTCTCCCTCTGCCTGCCGCTCCCCCTGCTTGTGCTCTCTCTCTCTCTCAAATAAATAAACAAACGATCTTTAAAATGAAATAAAATAATGCGTTGTGGGGCAGGTTATTAATTCATGGAATCCAAAATTCATGGAATCCAAAAGACTGGGAATCACCGACCAAGAATCCCAGAGAGCAAAGTTCTGCTTGAAAGACTCACTCCTAGTGAAAAATTCTTTATCACCTTCTCCCCAGGCCCATTCTGAGTTGGAAACGCATCATGAGCCTCCTGAAGAATAATGACAGACCTAAGCCTAGTAAGAGTTTTCTCATCTGGAACCCAGGGCTAATTTTGCCTCACCACCCCCAGCCTCCCACATATACCGCCTCATCACCATCTCCCAGGGACACCACAGGAATAACTAGTAAAAATAATGAGAAAACATTTTGTGGAAAGAAATGTGCTCTCCAGCTGGAAAACACACACACACACACACACACACACACACACACACACACACACAGAGGCAGACCTGGACCCATAAATCAAGGGGCCAGGGAGAAAAAGGAATCTGGGCAGAGACCTATTTTCAGCTGCCCCTGCTGAATAAAGACAGAGAGAAGTTCCCTTACCTCGGTTTTCCCTCACAGCCAAGACAGTGGGATCCTATTGGGGGAAAAGGAGAGGGAGGGGACTTCAGGGCTGTGGCCTTTTTCGGCACAGCTGGAAGAAGGGCTTTCCACAGCTGTGCTCATCTGGACCAGACTGGCCTGAAATGTGAGGAGCAGAGACTCCCCAGGGAAGACTGTGTCATGGTTTGTACCAGAGCCACATGATGGACAGAGGGAGCCAGACCAAGGTTAAAGTCGTGTCCACCCAAATGAGACACTCCCACCCTAAGGCCACTCCAGCCCAGGTCACGGTGGCCACCTTGCTGGCCCTGTGTGTGCGGCATGCGGCCCCCACTGTGGAGTCACAGAGCCCCTGGCTCAGGGAAGGGTTTGGTTTTGCACCCTGGTGGGTATGCAAAGCGCCAGGCAATGCCTCGGTGATGATGAATAAAGCTTTTGCCAGCCCGGGTTCCTGGCAATCAGTGCCGGGGCGGACCCTCAACTGCCCTCATCCTCAGGAAGAGGGGACACATGAACTCTTGTGGTAAATTCCAAACTTGCAAGATGGCGGTGGAGAGAGGACCTTTTGAGTAAGTGGGCACCTCGTCACCCAGCTACCTGTGACTACTGTTCTCCTCCTCCCCCACATTAGCGCTCTGAGCCCCGTTACCTTCTGAATTTTCGGCTGCATGCGGGAGGGGCAGGGGGGCAGCTGGTTGAGGGCGCTGGTGATCTCAGGGGTCTCCACGGCGGCTAGGGCGTTGCAGATGGCTTTGACGGACTGGACCACCCTGTCGGCCTTCAGTGGGAAATCCCCCTGTGGGAGGCGGCAGAGCGAGGCTGGCAGGCGAGCACCCTCAGCCCCCAGCACCCACACTGTTGAAGGAAAGGGCTGTGGGGAGTAGGGCTTCATGACCCTCAGGAGTAAGAGTGGACTCCCATGCTCGATTTTCACACGTCCGGCATTAGCGAACAACTTCTCCTCTTGAATTAGATGAGCCATGCCCAGGCTTCTAGGTCTTTCGGCCATCCTCCCTGAACCCCCTCCGACTCCCAGACTCCCTCCTGGCAGCTACTGTACAAACACATAACACACACACATTCCCCCAGAGACATGCAGTTTTAATAAAACCAATCCATAGGGAATAGCAAGGAAGCCAGAGACCATATTCAGGCCCCTTTGCCCAGGCCGCCTTACAACTCGTACTGTCACCTAGACCTTCCAGGAGGATGCCATCTCGGCACCACAGGCAGGCCACACCCATGCGTTCTCCTCTGCACTTGGCCTCCTGCAGTTTTCTCACTTGGAATCATCTCACCTGTCGTGTCCTGATTACCTACGGAAGTTCAAATCGTGGACCAGCGAACACCCAGCCTCCTTCTCACAGCCCCTGGCCAGTGTTCCTACCCCTCTCCAAGAGCCCGTGATGAACTCAGAACCACCCCGTTCTGTCTCCTAATAGCCTTGTGTTACTACCCTGTCTTGCTAGCAGGAACACTCACTCCCTGAAGGCGAAGACAATCTTTATGCTTCTCTACCCACAGTAGCCACTAACATAGAGCCAGACGCGTACACAAAAGGTGCTCAGAGACCTTCCCGCTCGTCCCGGTAAACGTGGGTGTGGAGCGGAGGCTGCTGGAGAAGGGATTCCGGTGGTGGGTGGAGGACTGAACTAGATATAATGCTCAACTCCCCCAAAGGCAAGAGTCCATGACCACTGTGCACTGGAACCACGAGACCGGGATTAGTTTTGAAGATCGCTGTCCTTTTTTATTTTTTAACCTTCATGACATTTGGGGCAAATGTTTATTCTCATGGTTTCGCGGCCTAAAACTCCACGAGAATCCAAGTGAGGAGAGTCCCGGCCCTTGCCTACCACGGTGACCCTTCACCTCCTGACGGTTTCCTACCTGTGACTCCAGCACATCGGAGCGTCTCAAATCAGAGGTTCCTGGGCATTGCTCATAGGATGCACACTCTGGTGTACATTCAAGTACAGCAGCTGGGGGGACACCTCTATGTCCCTTAGCTTTGGAGACGCCCTACTCCAGAGACAGGGATCAGGGCATGGTTCTTGACCTACTTCCACAGAGGAGCAGAACCCCTCTTGCCAACTGCCCAACACCCAGCAGCCTTGGGCTAGGGGAATGGGAAGAAGTGCTAGGGGGGCTAGAGGAATGGAAAGAAGTGCTCTGCTGACAGATTTTCAGTGTCTACTCCAGAGCCCTTTAGGGCTGGCTGATCCCAGGACAACTTTGGGAAAGCAGGGGAGGAGCTCTGGGCAGCTGGGCCAGCCCCACAATGGATACTCACATCAGCCAGCAGGAAAGCATCCACTTCATTATGGTATGTGTCGAACAGAAGATCCAGGGCCTGCCTGGGGAGTTGGGGACAGGGAAAAGTCATAGGAGAGGTCAGGACAGTCCCAAGGTACTGGGAGACCCATTCTCTCCCTCCTTCCCCACAGCTCAGGATTCAGGCTCTAGTTTAAAGGGGTTCCCGCTCTTTCTATAGGTTCACCACCTCTCACCTGGAGAATGATGGCACAGTACTAGAGGGAAGAGATGTAACACACCCTAGAGTGGGGATCTTCTCCTAGAATACTCTTGGGTCTCATCCCAGACACCTGTAAGAACCCCTGGCACTGGCAGAAAGGCAAGCAAGTTATCCGTTGGGGTCCCCTCACAGTTCCTGTTTGGCCCACATCCAAGATGGCACCCACGCTCACCTGCTGATGGTCTGTTTGACTGGCCTCTCTTGCAGATGGACGAGGTAGTTCAAGGTGGAGGGGCTCTGGTCATCATTCACCTGTGTAAGAAGCGTCCTATTCAGAGAGGAGTGGTACCTTGATCATAACCCAGCGCTCCTACCCTACTCCCACTGAATGCGCTCCGTATCACCTTCCACCCACGCCACCTCCCCATCCCCATGCAGCCATCCACTGCCCCTGCCACCGCCGCCCCGCACGAACCGTCCGGGCCAGGTCACTGCGTACAGCTTTCCGCTCCATCAGCTGTAGCTGAATGTCGATGTCGAACTTGCGGCAATATTGAATGTACTCGTGGCTGCCCAGGGCATGCTTACTGGTGGAACAGGGGGACAAGACCATTAACACCTCGGGCACTCAGTGGGAAGGGAGATGTATACCTTAACCTTGGGGAGAGAGAATTAAGAGGAAGCGGACAGTGAGAGGGGTTACTACCTGGGCTCCTGGAAAATGTCCTTGTAGAGCTCAGGGAAAAAAACAGAAGTCTGTCTAAAGAAAAGCCACCTAATACATGTAACCTTGGTCTGTATAGACGCCGACTTTCCTAGGCATTTATTATCTGTATCATCATCACCGATCGCTCCAGGGGTGGGCCTTCTGGAGGGAGTGGGGTACAGAGACTTCTGGGGGGGGCGGTGATTAAACCCCATTCTCTCAGCTTTGGTATACAGAACACTTTGGAAGTCACCAGTGCTCCAGCTGGGGAATGGAGCTTACTGAGCGACACTCTCCCCCCGCTGTGGTCCTCAGTCTCCTACCCCCTTACCATCAGCGACTGGGGTGCTGAGGCCAACCAAATAAACCCACCAAGATTCTAGGTCTGTTATTCCCGAGCCCCAAAAAATCTCTTCATCCCTTCATCCGTGGGTCCTGTCCGACTGTGAATGACAACACACATCTCTACAGACTTCCTGACCAACACCCATCTGCAGGCCATTCACTGCTTGAGTGACAACACAGGCGACCCTGTCGACCCGAGTCTCAGAGGAGGCCTCGGGAGTCCCTCTGTGACCCAGCCTTTTCCTCCCTCCCGAATTACATCATAATCAGAAAGGAAACCCAGGAGAAGGGGCAGAGGGAGTCTGTCCTGCAGACCAGCACTGAAGGCCTGGGCCGGGTCCCAGCAGCTGGGTAACAGAAGCCGGAAAGGGACTTCCTTCCTCGGCAGAGCTGGGAATCTAGGCCAGAAATGGAGGGGAGAGGAGAGGAGCAGAGGGGAGGAGTCTGTGCAGCAACCCAAGAGGTGGCGGCCTGAGACCAGTCTGGGTCCAGCTGGGACTGAAGGGGTTCTCCACATCCTGAGGGGCCAAGCCTCAAGGATCTAGGCCCCAACCCGCCAAGGCTGAGCTGGAGCTAAACCCTGGGGCTGGAGAGGCTGGGCAAGGGGGGGTCTGGTGGGAGTGCCTCAGGAGGAAGGAAGAGTGTGGTAGGGGTGGGGGAGGCAGCAGGAAACCCAGCCCTCCCCTGGGACCGTCTCAAGGTTCTTATCTGAGAGCAGCCTGCATCCTGGACCTACCACGCCCCCTCAGCATCAGCCCCTGCTCAGCCAGGGTAGGAAACCACAGGGCTTCCTTGGGAGCCAGCAGCTTTCTGGAACCCCCAGAGGGTCTGTCCACCCCCACCCAAGGCAGCTGTCTGGTACTCAGGGGTCAAGGCTTTTCTGCTGGGTGGGAGGGAAGAGAAGAGCCTCCGTGGAAGAGGGAGGCTTCGGGACCATGAGTCATGGACACTGGGGTCGCCTGGGGACTTAATTGACCTTCTCTGTGGAAGGCCTTCCTCTGCGTGCATTCAGCTTAGAGTGGGAGGGGCATGACCCTAGGACCACTGATCCGGTTGCACCTCACACTGAACACTCCAGTGAGGTCTTCACAGGAAGTCAGAACCTGATGGCCTGTCTACCATCTTTGGCCCTGGGGGCTCAAGGACTATGAGAGTATCCAGCTGATCTGGATCCCCATGCTCTCTTCCCTTTGGGCTGGTCCTTCCCTGCTTATTGGGTCATTCTTACATGCAGTCCTTACTACGTTTTATGGAAGAAACTGAGGATCAGGGTTTTACAACTAGTAAGTGGCAAGCTAGAACCCAAACCACCCATACTGGTGTGATCCATTACGCCCCTTGTTCCCTTACAACAGTGCCTGGGGTGCTCTCTGCCAGGAGACCCTGAGTCTAGGACCCCTTCTTACGCCTCTACGGAAGGTGAGTACACATTGAACACACCTGAACAGTGCTCCTGGGGCTGTGCCACTCAGGGCCCTGCCCTTCCTTTCCCCAGGGTGAAAGAAACCAGTCAAGAACTGCTCTGGCCATTGGTGAAGCATCCCTGCATCTCGAGCCAGTGGTGGCGCTCATCCGGCACTCCTAAGAACTGAGACCCAGGCCCCTCCTTTCCCCACCTCCAAGGCCTGCTTTCTTTGAGTGGCCAGGGGAAGTGGACAGTAGGCAGCCAGAGGCTTGGGGAGGAAAGCACATCTTTTTCCTTATCTGCTGCCTTCTGGCTGATTCTAGAGCCTGCCCACAGCCCTACTCCCAGAGGGGTGTATTCCCTCCCACTCTCGCCCCAGCACCCAGAGCCCCAGGGCAGTAGAAAGGGCAGAGCTGTAGCTGGTCCACATCAGACTTTCCAGGAGGCTGCCTGCTGCCCAGGGCACTGGGTAGAGAGGAGCTGGACGCAAGCCTTTGGTGGATAACCAGCTGCACATGCCAGTGGGGGAAAGGCCTATTGGCAGGGAAACGGGGAAGAGGGAGCAACTGTAATTTTTCCCCTAAGTTCCGCAAGGGCACTTCTGCCCAGTCCTCCATCTGCCCCTGACCATAAAGACACACAATCTAGAAGTAGCCCCCGACAGTCCCCTCCCCGCCTCAGCCCCACACCCGCATCTCTCCACATGCAGACGCCTGCAAGCAGATATGACTTAGTCTTTGCCTGGTCCCAGCTCCAAGCTCTTTCCACAGCAGACTTGGCTCAGAAGCCAGCCAGCCCTGCTGGAAGACAGAGTGCCTGGGGAAAGTGCGACGTGGCTGTGCGTGTGCCCAGAAAGCAGCCGTGGGATCAGGGAGGGGCTGCCAGCCCCAGGCCGCGAGCCCAGCACCACCCCAAGGAAGCCCCTTGACAATCCTACCACGCTGAAGGCAGGTGCCGCTTCCTACCCGCTTTCCCCACAGTTCACTCACTTCTGCAGGAACTCCTCCAGCCCACAGGGCTTCAGCACAAAGTTCCCCACGTCCACACCCCTCAGTTCATCGTGGGTGTAGCACAGAGTCTGGTGGATGAGCAAGTCTACAGTGGAAGAACCTGTAAGGGGTGGGGCAGGGGAACAATGATGGGGGGAGCCAGGGAAAGTGGGGCTCAGCATCCCCACGCTGATCGCCCTATTCCTGGCTAAACATTCTCCAGCACCACGGCTATCCAGATAAAGCAGGCGAACACACAGTTTGGGCTTGGGGAAAATGACTGTGGGCCCCTAAAGCTGGCCCCAGAGCCAGTCCCCCAGAGGACCGTCCCCGATGCCCCTCATCAGGGCCACAGGTGGGGTGGGACTTGAGGTCAAAGGATCCTATAGTCCAGACCACAGCCATCCCTGCTCCACCTCAAGGGATGCTCATCTGCCCTCCTCACTTACAGTTGCAGGTAAAAGTGAGCGGCTCCTGTAGGCTGTCACACAACACAGTCACCTTCAGGTTGACCTCATCCCCGAGGTGCTCTGGGCTCGGGGTGACAGCACTCCAGACATATCCAGTGAGGGAGTAGTCTTGGATGTCCGAGCCAGATCGAAGGCTGTGCAGAAAGAGAGGGAGAAGGACCCTCACTGTGCCTTCAGAAGAGAGCAGTCAAGAAGACACCTGCTGGAACCCTCCCACCCTGAGGCCAAGGTCCCTTCTGTCCCTGCTCAGCCCGGCCCTCCAGGTCTGCAGCCCGGGACTGGGGGCAGTGGGGAAGCAGCTCTGGGAAGCCATGTTCTTGACACATTTGCTACAGCTACAAAATGTTTCCCAAGCCCCGCTGCATGGTAGGGACAATTCTAAGTTCTACAGTGACAAAGCTTTCTGTGCTCAATTCAGTGGGAAATTCTCCCGGCTCCATTTCCTTTCTCTTTTAGCTCCAGGTAATATACTCTTCGCTCCATCCAGGGTGCATTTGCTCCTGAGGGCAACCGACCCTGAAGCCACTGGGATAATTTGTCTGTTGGATCAATGGTTGATAAACTTTGCCCAAAATGTGAAACTTCTAAGATTTCAAAAAGCCCACAAACACCTATTGTAGGAAACACCCCATAGCTGTGAATTGAGATGGATTCAATATGGCTCTTCTTCCTACCTCGAGAAAAGTTCTGAGTGGGCTGGCCCTCCTCCCCAGCCCCCAGAGCCCTCCCCAACATCCCATTCTTTAACTCTTACACATCCAGCATGTGGCAAAACGCAGCAACTTCCTCATCTCTTTCCTCTGAGACCTCAAACAATTCATGGCCATTGGCAACAGCATGGCGCCGTGAGTCCACCTTTAAGAGAAGAGCAGCTGACTCAGTGCCTTTTCCGTCACGGCACCCCCTTCCCACAGGCTGCTCCCAGATCTAAACCCTGAAACTCTTGGGTGTAGAGGCTTTTTAAGCACTGAACATTCAGGGGCACAGGAAAATGTGGGAAATCCAGGAATGTCTTTATCTGCTGTCCTAGGAGACCAGGAGCCAAGGGGGAAAAAAAGAGAACTTGAAGCCTTGGCTGAGGCTGGAAGTCCGGGTGGAATGGACAAGAATGTGGCCAAGCCTCCTCTCCTAGGGTGGGGTGGGGGCGGCCAGCATCTAATAAGCTCAGCCCAGGTTAGGCAGCACACAGCATTGCTGGTCCCTGGGCTGGCTTTCTGGGGGTGCTCCCAGGGGTGTGGTGGAGAGCTCTACAGGCAGCTATTTGTCTCCATCCCAGCGTGGGGTCCAGGGCCAGTGGGTTGCCCAAACAGTGCCCAGGGAAGCTGGGCCTGAGGCAAAGGCCTCAGCATCCACAGCAAGCCCCAGGGACCCAAAGCAGAGAGAGACCGAGCGCCCTCAGATGGAGGCGGTGACTCAGACCTGTGCCTTCTCCGTCAATGCGATTTGAGGAAGAAAGTATCAAAGCGGCTTTCTGGGCAGGAGAGAACCTGCAGAAGGCTTAGCTCCTCCTGGCTCCTGAGAGTTCAGCTGGAATGTCAGGGACCCTGCCTGGGCCCCACTTCCTACCCGGGAATCTGGGTATGGTGGGGGGGGATTCTCTCAGATGAGACGCGACCTGTCTCCCAGCACAGAGCTGCTTTCAGTCACCGCGACGAGTGCTAAAGAAGCCCTCGGAAGCTCTCAACCAAGGCCTGTAGCCTGGGCCCCAGGGAGGAGGAAGTGCTGGGGACAGCTGGGGCCCGGCAGGTTCCTGCCTGACAGGCCACCCCACGGGGACGAAGCTGCAGCTCAGATGGAGCCCAGCCTGCTTCCGGTACGGGCGGCCACGGCCAGCAGCTGCTTCCGGGGAGCGCAGGCCTGGGCTCAGAGCAATGCCTCACCTCTCGCCCTCCCGCTGGCTGCTCCCCTGTCCTGCCGGCCCCCAGGGCCCCACGGCAGCCACTGAGCGCCTCATCTGAATATCCAAATTGTTTCCTCTGAGTGACCCCTCTCATTAGCCTTGCTCCCCGGGTGAGTGTGGAGGGGTGCAGAGGGGAGGGCGCAGCGGGGGCGGTTGGCACGTGAGGCCCTTGCTCTGCCAAGTTCCAGCCTGTGTCCCACTCCCAGCAACAGTGCCAGTGTCAGCAATTAACCCACAAAAGTGAGGGGGGGACAGAGACAGAGAGACAGAGAGACAGAGAGAGGAGGGGAAGGCGAGGGGGATAGAGAACAGAGTGGCTACTGAAGGCCATTTCCATGCCCTTCAGTACCACCCCCTGGCTCCGTAAGAAAACAAAAGCCACTTACGTCTGCGCTGCCGGCAGGCCCTGGTGGCATCGCCGGACGCTGGCTGGGGGGGTCTGCTGGGCAGAGGCTTGCAGCGGGGGCACCAGGCTGGCATTTGGAGCCGACCATTTCCAGAGCCAGCTCCGCAGGCCTGGGATAAGGAAGGTCCCTCCGTCCGAAAGCCCGGTGGAGGCGGGGTGGCGGGATGGGCCGAGGGCCCGAGAGGCCCCCCCGCCCGGTGGGATGAGCCCCCGCACCAAGCTGTGGGGGGGACGACCAAGGCCGCATCCCCCCCACCCCAAGAACTGGCAAGAGCTTTTTGCTCTGCCCTAGCTTCTTCAAGGACACTCTGGACCAAGCTCCCTCTCAGAACCCTGGTGACACGCAGGGGTTAGGGGAAGGGTGCGGTGGTGGAAGGAGGCAAGAGAGAGAGGGAGCGACAGAGGTGACCACCTACCCGGGTGGCCTGACTCCGAGCAGGCCCCGCTCTGGGTGAGGAACTAGGAGCTGGGAACAGGAATCTCCCCGTCCCTATAAATAGCGGGAGCAGCCCCACCTCTCAGAGCAGGGCCTTTAAAAAGCCCTGAGCTCCAGAGTCGTGACTTCTCCCAGAAGCTGATTCTGCTTTGGGGGACTCTCTTAGCAGAAGCACAGGAAGGAAGGACCACGTGACTTTCCCAGAGTTGTGAAGGATCCCGATTGCTGGGACACAGGGCGGGAAAGCCCCCGTGTCTCTTAGACAATGGATAAGGAGGAAACAGGGATGGAATGAAGTGGAATGCTGTTCCTACGGAAGCCACTGGCCGTAAGATACCTCTTGACTCCCTCTGCGGTCGGGGCTTCCAGAACCAAGGGTGAAACTCCAAGGGGCCTTCAGGTCCCACCCATGGAGATGCTGCTGACACTCTTTTAAACCAGAAAAAAGATCAAAGCTGTCCTGGAACCTACCCCATACTTCCGTGTGGATACTTTGCTATTTTATACTGTGTACGGATAAAAGCAAAATGATTATTGTCACACTGCGTATCTTTTCTAAATATTTTCACTGTGAAAGCAGGTGGCCGGTGGGGATGGCTGCGCAACAATGTGAATGTTGCTCATGTCACCGAACTGTACATGTCAGATTGGCCAAGATGGTAAATCTTGTTCTGTATAGTTCCCCACAGTAAGAGAGAGAGAGACAGGGAGAAAGACAGAGGGAGAGATAGAAACAGAGCCAGAGGGACAGAGAGGAGACGGAGAGAGAAAGGCAGAGACAGAGAGGGTAGAGAGACAGAGAGACTGAGAGACAGAGGGAGACAGAAGGAGACAGAGAGCAAGAACCAGCAAGCTTTGGAACAAGAGAGACCAGAGCTGTGTGCCTTGGACTATCCAGTCCAGGATTGTTGTGGGGTCTGGACTGGGGTCTGGTGACCAGCGAGCACTAACCACTGGTTAATGCCACGATTGAGCCTATCACCACGCAGCACTTTGGGCAAAGCAGGTCAGAAAGCAGAAGCAACCTGCTCCAGTCCACAAGGCCATTTGGCCACAGAGTCACCACGAACCCCCTCAGCCCAGTTCCATCCTTACCTGCGGAAGTGAGCACACGCTAGGAACCGAGATTCCCAAAACACCTGCCCCCACAAGGGCTGTCTGGGCACAAAACTCAGCCCTGAAAAGGAGCCCCGTCTCCCCTGGTGCCCCTCTTCCTCTCCCCAGCCAGGGCCCAGGGGCCAGAAGACAGGGGCAGAGGGGAGGAGAGGACTAACGGGGTGAGTGGGTAGCAGATTTCGATTTGGAACAACAAAGATGAAAGAAGGACTACTCTTTGTTTCCCGAATGGCGCTTGGAAAGGAGAGCAGAAGGAACACAACGAGGTCCTCACCGGCGTGGCGGAAATCCGGCGGTTCTTGCCCGGGGTCTTATTTTTCCCATTGGCATAGCGGGAGGTATAGGTGCGCGGCGGCACCTGAGGGGGCATGGTCTTGCTCCGGGCCACAGGTTTCCCAGGAGTGTCCTTGCCGCCAAAGTCCAGGGGCCCCCGGCCCTCCTTCCAGCCCCTGGTGGTGTCACGCAACATCTCCGCATCGTAGGTGGACTTCAGGTTGAGGCGCGTGATCGCATCATTGATACCGTCATAGTCCACAGGCCCCAGGACGCGCCCCGGACCCCCGCCCCCCCGCTCCTCTTCCTCCTCTAGGATGCGACGCCCCAGCAGTTTGCCTGGAGGTTGCTCCACCAAAGAGAACGTGTTGAAGTCATTGGGCTGGGAGATCTTGGAGGACGAGGGAGACACCTTTCTGGGAGGCAGTGGAGGGGTGTCCCAGATAGAGACACGGGGAGGCAGAGGAGGTGGGGACAGTTTCTTGGAAGAGCCATCTATGTCCCCCAGTCCTATGTCCCCCGGGGACAAAGAGAGCCCCTCATCTGAACCATCAAAGATGTAGAGATAGTCTCGAGCCAGAGAGCCTTTTGGCCAGGGATCCGGGCCAGGCTGGGAGCCCTGGGAGGTAGAGTGGTTGGATAACCCTTCCTGTGGGGAGAGTGAGTTGTAATTGAGGGTAGGATCGGAGCCAGAAAGACCACGTAAGAGTTTGAGGTCCTTCTGCCTTCCTGCCGGCTTGCTGTAGAAGTCTAGGACGGGCTCATCCCAGCTGATGAGAGCGGAGTCTGTGTTCTGCTTGGCTTTGCTCTCCTCCTTGTCATGCCGGAGCCGGGACAGCGCGTCGTACTCCATCTGCAGGGCTTCGGCCATGGCCAGCTCCTTGCGGCTGATGCCCACCGACTCCAGGGACTTCCAGTGTTCCCCATTGCCCTGAGTCGAAGACATGGTGAGGATGGGGAGCAGAGGAGACAAGGAAGTCTTCTACTTCCTCCCAGTGTCAGGTGTACAGGATTCTGGCATGGTGTCTGGGCACCTGCAGGTGAGGGGTTAAAAATATCATTTAGCCACAAAAAGACGTGAATTAATAATGTGACCTGGGTGACATAATCTGGGCCACTGCCTGCTTCTCCAGTGCCTACAACAGATGGAAAGAAAGAAAAAGACGGAGAAAAAGAGAGACACCAACACAACTCTATGGAATACATCCATCCACCTTTCCATTCATCTACAGATGTCTGGTCCTTTGCTCCCACCCTCCTCTCTCTCCCGTGTACCCCGATGAAAGAAGGAGGCACCTCGCATCAGCCAAGAGAAGATGGAAACAGGGGCTCTTCGATCCGTTTAAAGAGGACCGTTCTTGGGGTACCTGGGTGGCTCAGTTGGTTGGGTGTCTGCCTTTGGCTCGGGTCATGATCTCGAGGTCCTGGGATCAAGCTCCACATCGGGCTCCCTGCTCGCAGGGAGCCTGCTTCTCCCTCTCCTCCCTGCTCATGCTCTCTCACTGTCTCTCTCTCAAATAAATAAATAAAATCTTAAACAACAAAAATAAATAAAATAAAGAGGACCATTCTCATACACTAGTGGGGAATGTGAAGTGGGGCAACCACTTTGGAAAACAGGCAGCCTCTTGAAAAGGTAAACACCCACCTACCATATGACTCAACTATCCCACTCCTAGTCACTTATCCAAGAAAAATGAAAGCACATGTCTGCGCAAAGACTCATATACGCATATTCATGGTAGCCTTATTTGTCATATCCCCAAACTGGAAACCCAGGTCCATCAACAGGGGAATGAATTAAAAAATGTGATTATGTCCACAAAATGACACTAACTCAGCTACAAAAAATAATAAATTACTGACACGTGCACTAACATGGATGTATCTCAAAATAACTATATTTGAGTAAAAGAAGCCAGACAAAAAAGTACGAATACGTAGGATTCCATTTATATAAAATCCTGGAAAATGAAAACTATCTACAGTGACAGAAAGCAGATCAGTGGTTATCTGGGAAGGAGGGAAAAGAGAGATGGATGACAAAGAAGCTTAAAGGACACTTACGGGGATGACAAATATATTCATTAGATTGTGGCAATGGTTTCATGGCTATATAAATATGTCACAACTTAATCGGACTGTATGCCTTAAATAGGTACAATTTATTGTATGTCCATTACACCTCAATAAAGCTATAAAGTGAAATAGAGTCCAATGAAACAGACCTTGTAACCACTCAGACTGCACTAAGATCCTCCCCAAATACACCAACATGAGCAATAAAACAAAGCCTGGCAACAGGTGAGACCCGGGGTACTTGATGGATTACAGGTGTGCCATATGGATTCCCCCTGGCCCTCAGGAAGCTGGGCAGGAAGGCAGGACCCCCAGGCCAGCTGGACCTGGCTGCAAGCAGCCCCCTTCACACACTCCAGAGTTGGTATCCTTTTCTTTAGAGGCCATGACACAAAGATGGCACTGAATGAACGGTTGTCGGGACAAGGCTAGCCTGGCCCAGCGGTTCTCAACCCTAGTTACCCGTTAAAAACACCAGGGGCACTTTTAAAAAGCGCTGATGCCTGGATACTCTTAAGAGATTCTAATTTAATTGGCCTGCGGTAGAGCAGTGGTATTTTTTAAAACCCCAGGAGATTCTGGTCTACAGCCGAAGCTGAGAACCACAGACTTCTGTGTGTGTATGGTTCAGATTAGGTTGGGGGAAGCGAGTGTGAAGTGGCCACTTCTGACCCTTAGCGCCAGCAGCCAAGAAGTTCACGATTTCATAAAATTCCCAAAAATGATTCATTGTATTGTACGGCTTTACCCAGCAGGTAATCAACATGAAGCATGTTGTTCCTAAAAAAAGAAATCAGAAAACATCAAAAGGAAAAAGGTTCAGGTAAATACTCGGGCAGCAAGCTCTAGCAGGTCCCAGATGAGTTAGGACAAAGGTATCCCTTGACCTGAGGTGCCTGCCCAGGACCCTGGTGTCTCCGTCAGACCTAGGCTCAGAACCCTGGCCTGGAGGGCTGTGGCTAGCTTAGAGAATTTTAGCAAGTAGTTCCTCGCAGATTGAATAGCCCAAGTCCAGTCTCGGGGCATAGCAAGTGGTTCTCTGCCTGTGGAGTTTGTCCACCCTTCAACAACTTCTTATAGATTATTTTTTACCCCCAGAGGGTAAGAGGGAGTCTTACCATTTGAAATTCAAAGGAATTGGATGAGCAGATAGAGATACCCAGAACACAGCTCCTGGGACTTGGGAAACTGGTCCCAGGAAAAGGTCTTAGTACTTTAGACAGGAGACACCAGATAAATGCTCCAAGCTGGACCAAGCCTTTTATTCCAGAGAGTGTTAAGACTAGGGGCCTCGGGTGCCTGGGTGGCTCAGATGGTTAAGCGTCTGCTTTCGGTTCAGGTCATGATCCCAGGGTCCTGGGATCGAGTCCCGCATCGGGCTCCCTGCTCCTTGGGAGCCTGCTTCTCCCTCTGCTTCTCTCTCTCTCTCTCTCTCTCCCCCTGTCTCTCATGAGTAAATAAATAAAATCTTTAATTAAAAAAAAAGACTAGGGGCCTCATTTTTGGTCACACACACACACACACATACACACACACACACACACATGGCTGTCTCCTCTCTGGCTGCACAGTTTCCTGGACTCTGCCATTTCTGGGCTTCTCTGTCTTTCCAGAAGTCAGGTCAACCTGTGCTCACCCAGCTGTCCTTGGTGTCACAATCTCCAGGAGGCATTCCCATCAGCAGTGAACACCAGGGACATCGAGTGTGACTGGGGTCCTGTCACCAGGACAGCTGGGACGTGCCCTGAACACCTGCTGTCCTGGGATGAGGCTGATGCTCATGAATCCTGGGGGGGGGAGCGGAGGAGGGGCGGGGTCTCTGTCCCCAAGGGCAGCTCAGCCCCTGAGCATCTCTGGGCTCCAGTCAGTGCCTGAGGCTAATTAATTAGTACATTGATGCTGGGACCCCAGGCTCAGTGCTGCTCCTCTGGAGCTCAAGGCCCATAGGGATGTGACACACCACCCCTGTGCTCTCAGGGCTGGCCTGTCACCCACCTCCAAAGAGGATGGACCTCTGCTGAGAGTCTTCTGTCCCAACCCAGGGCCACAGGGCCTGTGACTTCAGGGACAGAGTCCCTCTTATCTTCACCTCTTCTCCACTCAGATGTGGGACCTCTGACAGAACCTTCTGGAACAATTGCTCTGTCCCGAACATGCTGAACACAAGGCACAGGGAGTAGAGCTGTGCCCACCCTGAGTCCGATGTGATCCCAAATCTGTCCTTGCTGGAGGCTCTGTCTGGGTTTGGTAATTCCATCTCTGGTATGGCTCTGAAGCTCATAGGAACAGCTTCTTCTTGGGTTTCACTGGGCCCTGCATCAGGCTTTTTAACCTGCAGGACCAGACCCGTGATACACAACTCATGACTATAATAATAAGAACAAGTCAAATGACTTTAGAAACAAGTTTATAGACCCCTATTCAACTGAAAACAGAAGGCATTTCTTTTCCATTGTTTTTCCATCCATGCTTTTAACCCTAAATTCCATCCATTTTCTCTCTGCAATAAACAGAGGATCTGACCGACAACAACAACAAAAAGACGCCTAGGTGCCTTAGTTGGTTCAGTTGTCAACTCCTGATTTGGGCTCAGATCATGATCTCAGGGTTGTGAGATGGAGCCCCATGGCAGGTTCTGCGCTGGGTGTGGAACCTACCTGAGATTCTCTCTCTCCCTCTCCCTCTGCCCCTCCCCAACTCCCCACTTGCATGCGTGCTTTCTCTCTCTTAAAAAAAAAAAAAAAAAGGATTTGCCTTCCTTCCGCCAGGCACCGTTATGAAAAGGAAAACTGAAGCCATCGGAAATATTCTAACTTCCTGCCTCTCTTACACACGAATTTATCCACACTTGTATGCAGTCTCCCTTTCGTCCTTTCGGGCTCAGGGGAAGTGGGTGCCTGCCTCCTGCTGAGGTACAACCTTCTTCTGCTCTTGCCCCGTTCACTGGCTCTCCTCCAGGAGGATGTGCCATGAACTGACTTCCCTTCCCTCTGTTGTACCCTCGCCTCTCCTTACCCGGGTCTCTCTCTTCAGCACATAAACATGTTAAGGCTGCTTCTAGCCTTAAAAAGAAAGAATGAAAAACAAAACAAAACAAAACAAAAACCCTACACCCTAGGCACTGTCTCTTGCCTTTTTGTCCTCTAGCCAGTACCTTCTCTGTTCTTCCCTCCCAGCTAAGCTCTACAAGAGCACAAGACGCGTGAACTTACCCAATTCCCGTTTACCCTTCAATTCACTGTAATCTGGCTTCTGTCCCCATCCTTCTAAGAAAACTGCCCAGAAACAATGCCCAGGGCCATCCAGTTCCACAGGTCTTTTTTTTTTTTTTTTTTAGATTTTTATTTATTTGCGAGAGAGAGAGAGAGAGAGAGAGAGAGAGCGAGAGCGAGCGCGAGCATGAGCAGGAAGAGAGGGGGCAGAGAGGCAGACTCCCCGCCGAGCAGGGAGACGAGGGGCTCGATCCCAGCACCCTGGGATCATGACCTGAGCTGAAGGCAGACACTTACGGGGCTGAGCCACCCAGGTGCCCCTCCACAGGCATTTCTATCTGCCCAGACATGGCTACTACATTTCGGTCTCCAGACCCTTTCCTTCTTCCCTAAACCCTCTACCCCTTGGCTTCCATGACACTACTTTTTTCTTGTTCTCCCCCTCCTTCTTGGTCCTGCTCTTCCTTTGTCCACCCCTGAAATGTTGGTGTTGGCTCAGGACTCCATTCTCAGCCACCGTTTACACCCTCTGCTCGGGCAACCTTGCCTCTCAGCAACTATTCGTTCCACTCGTGTGTCAGAGCGTGTCCAGAGGGGTATCTCGCCCCTCAAGTTGATATGCCCACCCATATCGCAAGCCCCAAATGTCCACAACTGAACTACCACCTTGTCCTTTCCCTTCCCACAACCTCTCCTCTCTCCTGGTTCCCCACCTGAGCAAAGGACACCAGCCAGTCGTCACCCAACCTAGAAACCCGACAGCCACTCCAGATTCGTCCGTCACCCGGCCCCCACAGCCACTCAGCAAAGTCTTCCTCACGAAGCGACTTTTCCTCCTGAGTGAGTATTCCCCAATCTAGTCGTTCCCACTATCCCAAGGGCTGCAGCCCTCATTAAGCCCTTATCTCCTCCCATTTGAACTATTATAATAGGCTCCTAACAATTCTTCCTCCTAATCTGCCCCTCCTTAAGGCATTCTCCCCAGAACAGCCAGAGGGCTCTTTCTAAAAGGTAAACCTGACCATTCCACTCCCTGTTTCCACCCCTTCAAAAGCTCTCTATTTGCTTCCTTTACAGATCCTTTATCACCTGCCCCATCTTCCTCTCAGCCATTCATCGCCAGGTACTCAGTACCTCCCTGAGTTTGTTCAACATCTTCCTTCCCCTGGGCATATGCCCTTCCCAACTCACTCTTGCTTTCTGCCTGTGGGACTCGAGTACTCACCCATCTGACTTTGCTCAGACATCACGTTCTCCAGGAAGCTTTCTCTGAACCCCCAGATTGGACTAAGGGCTGCTTCTTTACGCTCCCAATAGTACCCTTTACACACCTCAAATACAGTCTTAAAATAGTATATTCAAAATTAAATAGGTATGGACCTGTCACCCCACCACCACCACCACTATGCTCCTTAAGTTCCAAATTCACCACATTTCCCTTGAGAAACATACTTGAAATGGGATGAAAAGACAGCACTTTCTGGTGGAAAGAGTTTTTAGACATAAGACCAGTGATCAGGAAGCAGCTGGTGCCCTTCCTTGGGTCCTACAAGCACGGGACTGGGTATCACCTCACTGGGCTGGGTTTGGCACCTATAAGGACAGGGTGGGTGGACAGACAGGACCACCCCACAAAATGCCTTCCAGCTCTGGGCCTCTGATTCTAACCCACTGGCTTCCTTGAGTCAAAATTTCTCGGAGGACTCCAAAGTCACATCCCAGAGCAGCCTTAGCCCTGGGAGGAAAGAGAAGAAAGGCCCACAGGCAATCCAGCAGGCCTGGCTCCTGAGGTTCTTCCAAAACTGGAATTCAGACGAGGAAAGCCGAGCTACCCCCCTCTAACCACCGTCCCCTGGCGCCGGGCCAGGACTCCACCAGACTGCGCATCAGCTGTGCAGAGAAGGAGGCCCCAGCCTGCTGACAGATCCCCCGCGCCCGGGGTCACACTGGCTCTGCTCACTCTGATGCTGAGGGATCCGAGGTGAGGAAGCGGACAAGCAGCAGGGCCAGGAGAGCCACCCCCGACGGTGGAGTGAAGGTACAGAGCGGCAGCAATGCTCAGCGGTGGGGGGGCAGGGGGGGCGGGAGACAGAAGTCAGGAGCAAAGTTCCCAACAACCTGGCGCTAGAGCAGGCTGGCTTCCTCGAAGAACTCAAGCCCCAAATTTCAGTTTCTGGGGCGGGTGGGGAGACACAAAGTATGTTTCCTAACAACAGATTCCTGCCTCCCCCCTCCCCTTCCCCAATTCAGCTCCCTCTCCCCCAGCCTCTGCTGGATTGACAAATTAGAAATTTCTCTGTTCCCTTAGTCCTCAAGGGCTCCCAGGGGTTCTGGAAAAAATTCACGTAGGTCCCAGGAAAGAGGTGGGGTGGTGAGGGCCGGGGTCTCTGCAGCCCATCCAGGAAGAGAGAGCTGGGGCCAGTACTATGGTGTCGCACAACTCCAGGGGGCAGCCACACACTGAAGTCTGTATGAGTGCCACCCTCTGACCACAGCAAAGAGAACCATGAGAATGGCACCCCCTGGAGTTGCCCACCCTGGCGGCACTGGCTGTGTTCTTTTCTCAGGTCCATCTTCCAGAGAGCAGATGCAAACTGTCCGGGAGACCACTCTCAGCCAGGTTCCCTTTACCACCCACCCGCAAGCGCTCACTGTCTACACCTCCCCACATCAGCGCGCTCTTTTCTCTGCTTAACCATTTGCAAGGAAGATGCAAGCACTTCACCTCTAAACACTTCAGCCTGAACCTCTGAAGAACTAGGACACTTCCCTACATAAACACGACGCCATTAGGACACCCACAACATTTAGGGTTGACACGATAATATTATCTAATACACAGCCCACATCTGAATGCTCACAATTGTCATCTGGGAAGTTTTTACCACGTGTACGGATTCCGGGCCCCTCATCTGGAGGGTCTGACTCGGCAGGGTGAATCCATGGACTCTGACCATTTCAAAGCCTCCCAAGCAATTCAGATACGCCGCCAGGTTTGACCCTACAGACCACAGTTTCAGAACTGCCAGGAAGACAAGAAGCAAGTGGGGAAAAGGGGACCCCACCAAGCCCCAGGCAGTCAGCTGGTGAAGGAAGAGGGCATGCTTATGGGTGAGCAGGTCGGTGCCAGGGTCTGGGCAGCACCAGGCACCAAATAATCCACAGGGCTGCCAAAGGATGGCTGGAGGCCAGCGGGGGAGGAAACGGGGTCAGGGCAGAGCCACACAATGGTCTGGAGTCAAGGGCGGAGAGAAAAGAGAGGACACTCCCGCTAGTGAGCTGGCTCTGCTCAGTCCCTGTGCCAGAGAGGGTGGGGCCCCAGGGGCCAGCAGTGATCCCAGCTGTGGGCAGAGCGGGCTTCCTGCTGCCTGGTGGGAGGGCGCCTTTTCAGAACGGCTCTACTCAGCCTGATGGCTATGGGTCATCTCCTCCCACCCAGACCCACAGAACTGAATCTTGATGGCCACCGAGTACCAGCTACATGGCAGGCGCCATGCTTGTCCTCGAACCATTCAGATGACCCTCAGCACAGTTCCAGGGAGCTTACCATCTAGCAAAGGTGACAGGCATAAATAATTCAATCCCCTCCCTCCCTTGGGGCACGAAGCAGGGAAGCACCGCATGTCTTGGCAGGGACTATGGGGAGCCGTCAAGCAAGATGGTAAAAAAATATGTGAAGGGTCTCAAGCCCCCAGCCTTGGGCATCCCACCTTTTAGCAGTTTTTAATAACGGAAGAGGACTTAGTTCTAGGACTACCTAGGAAGGGACCTTCAGCACCTCCTTTCAGAATAAATGGGTCAAGGAGTTAGAAGCCATTCAGACTTAAACCCTTTGGCTTCCAGAGTTTTGTCTTCACAGGACCCCTGCCCCTCTCCACCCCCCTACACTCACACTCACCCACACCCAAAATCCCACTGGCTTTGTAGCCAGGGACCCACCCCCCACCCCTTGCTTCATATACCTGCTGCCCAGCTGACCCCCCTACCACACCCCCGCCCCCACCCCCAGAGGCTCAGCTCTAGCAGGGAAGGTTAGCGTGCCTTGTGTCATGAATCCAACAGGCAAGTGTATCTGAAAGGTCAACTCCCTGTCTCCAACACATATCCACCTCATCCTGGCTTCTGCATTGAAAACCTATAGGTTGTGCACAGGTCTGCGAGCTGCTTTGATGTCAGGCCCATCATTGGATCACATGCACCAATAAGGTCTTTTTCTTATCTATGTTCCGTCTCTGTGGCTATCACTTGGTTCCAAGTATGGGAAGACAGAAAACGACTGTCTGTGCTTTCTTCCTACTCACCCAGCCCCTCTCTAGCAACCTCTTGGCCAGATTAAAGCAGCCCCACATGGTTCAGTCTTTGCTACTGGAATTTAACTCTCCATCCCTGGATTCCCTGGGCCTACCCTGGACATTCCACTCATTTGAAGCCAAAGTTGATACCAGAGTCAGTAGAGGGCTCTCTGGGTCCTAGGAGCGCAGAGACGGGTGCTAGGAGCCTGTGTGACATGGCTAGATAGGGCTGGGTTTGCATTCAGAGCCCGAGAATCCTCAATCCCAGCTCAGAAACCATGGGTGCAACTGGTTCTGTACACACACACACACACACACACACACACACACACACACACACGCGCCCTGAAAATCACCGATCCTACCACAAACCCTGCAGATTGAGAACTTGAGTAAGAAGAAAGTCAGGGATGGAAGAGTTCAGGCAGCTTGTGGCTCCTTTCAAAACTTTCCTTCCTAGAGCTCGCGACGTAGATCAGACACCGGGAGCTGGCAGTCAGCTGAATGGAACCCCTGGCAAAGAAGGAAGAAAGGTCTTGGCAGCGTGTGGCTCTCTACTCCAGGAACCATCCTGGGAGCCAGAGCAGCCACATCTCCCTTCTGTCTGGTCTGCACTCCTCCCCCCCCACCACCCTCCCCACCTGCCCTGGGCCCCCGCAGCCCATAGAACCAGCCCTTAGTTCTGATCAGCTGGGTTCCTGGCAAACAGCATGGTGGTTAAGAATTACTCTTCCAGCTTCCTTGGCCCTCCAGAGAAAGGCAGTGGGACAGGATGGCGGTGGGGGAGGGGGAAGGAGCTCTCTGGGGTGACCTTCCCTGGCCAATCTTGGTCTCCAGCTGAGGGGATTCCTAAGGAAAGCTCTCTACAGACAAGATTCACACCAGCCCATCCTGCGTCAGAAAAACCACCCCAACATTGCCAAACACCAACATCTAAAAAACCTTAATCTCTCTGAGGGTATGGGAGAGCCCATGAAGTATAAAGGAAGCCCCTCTGGGAGGAGGATGTAAGAAAGTGGGTGGCGTGGGGGATGGGCACACAGCTGCCCTCACGGCCTTTGCCTCCTCTCTTCAGCTCTGCTACACAGTGCCATTTGCTTCTCGCAAACCAAGGCCTCCCACAAGGCCTGTGCTGTCCCCTATCACCTGCAGTTCAATCTCCAGTCCAGCTTCCCCAGCTCGTGGCCGTTGGAATCCAGTTCTCCGGGATTCCTGTGTGGGCTGGGGAAACTCCCTGGAGGCGGCCAGCCCATTAAACAGAATCCAGAAAGCAGGTCACTACTGTTCCCATCCAGCCATGGCACCAAAGGGAGAACAGAACACACCAGAGTCTCTCTGCTCTTGCCTGGAGGACTCACCGGAGGGAAGAGATGAGAGGCAGTGTGGAGACACCTCACTGCTCCCGTGCTCAAGCCCCAAGTCCTCATGCGTCTCAAGGCCTCCCGGGCTGGGCGGGGCTAACCCATTGGAGTCTGCAAGAAGGACAGAGCAGAGAGCTTCACATTATGGCCTGAGCCCATGGCAAGGGGAGGGGGTGTATCTTGGGGTAACTGCAGAGGCATGGGACTAACCAGAGTGCACTGAATAATGCCAGTGGGACCGCCTCCAGGAGGACATCCTTGCTGGGGATCAGAACTTGGATTTTTAGGGAGCATTTCCAATGAATTCAATGCTAACAATGCTTTGGTTGTTTTCTGGTAGCAACTTCTTAGACATCTGAAAGGCTCTCTCTCTTCTCCATGACAGGGTCCTCCTGTCTATTAGAGACGAGCAGACCGAGGCCCACTAAGGGTCAGTGACTTTGCCCTGGGTTTCACACTGGAGCTGCGGCTGGGTGGGGAAGGGTCCACAGACCCCATGTGGGGAAGCTACATGGTGCTGACACTCAGGAACAATCCAGACCCCAGCCCTGGGCTGTCCCCCAACAAGTACACACCTGCCCCAGATGCGCCAGAACCCCAGGATGAGGATGAGAAGGACCCAGAAAACTGGTCCCCAGAATGATCCTACACACAGAGTGCAGAAAGGGGGGCCGGCAGCCTCCATGCCGTGGTGCTGTCAGTGGGAAGGTTGGGGGCGACTGCCTGTAAGCCTGAGTGAGAGAGCCGGGGGCAGGGACAGGCTGTGTGGGCGGTGGGCTGCCGGCAGCTGAGAGCCACCTGCTTGGCTGGGAGGAGGGCGGGAGTCAAGGAGAAAAAGGCTGAGCTAGTCTTCCACGGGGACCCGAGCTGAAGCCCAGACCCCACACACATGCCCAGGGCAAGCTCCCTGCTCCCTCCCGGTCGGAAGGCTCTGCACACCCCACGAGCCCTGCCCACTGTCTCTCTGCCACCATAGTCCCTAAACCAGCAATCTAGACACGTGATCTGATAATAAAGAGTGTCTTTGGTTAGTGCTAACTCCCCAGATCAAGAAAATCTCGGATAAACTAGTCATTCTCAGGGACCTGAAGCCATGGTAATCACACAAAACAGCACATACATCCACACCTTCCCCCACGTACCCCACACCGCTCACTCCCTTCCCTGTGCACCCTCCACATCCCCTGAGACCTAGCTCTTCCACATCCTTCCTCCCCACCCTACATACACCCCTACCTTCACCCACACGCCCACATGCACCCCACACTCTCCATGCCCGGTATACCTCCTACAACCCCCCACACCCTGCACAATTACCCACATCTGCCCCTGCATACCCCCATACCTTACCCCCCCGACACACACACACATCCCCTCCACCTTGTTCCCTCCCTCATCAGCTCCCTGAGGAGAGGGGAGGGGAGGAAAGGAAGCCAGCTTAGACACCATGAAGTCACAATCTTAGTGTCACTGGCAAAGAAGTCTGAGAAAAGCAGACAGAAGGTTGAACCCGGAAGAAAAAGGAAAACAGGAACTTTCGGCTCCTGGGCCTTCCCCGTCCACATTCCAATACACTGGAGACAGGCCCCGCAGGGCACCAGGGAGCCAGAATGCCAGGGAAGGGACACCAGGCAGATGAGCCCAGGAGGACCTTGACTAGCTTGAAGGTGCCTGAGGCCACCTAGCTTCCGGCAGGCCTCAGAGGTGGTCGTTTTTTTTTTTAAGTCAGGGCACACTGGAGAGGCCCTGGGGTCCCTGCAGACCAGGGTAGGAAAGGAAAGGAAAGGAAAGGGGTGCCCCTCTTAAGCAGCCCCCATCTTACAGCCCAGAAAAAAACCCCACACATACAAAGAAAACACCACCGAACATGTGATACTAATTTACACAGGGCTGTTAGAGGCCAAGGTGTTAGTCCCGCCCAGGGACATTGGACATTTGCATTTAAAAAGCAGAGTCCAGGGAGAGGAGTGCCCAACCCAACCCATTCTGGAAATGGTAAGGGAAATTTCTAGTGGCCTGGGAGGAATGATCCATTAAAAGGTAGGCGGGGTGGATCTCTGGTGCTGGCCGTGCCTCTTCAAGGCTTCTCTGGTCTCAGCGCCTGAGGCCTAGGCGTCTCTTGCCCCCGTCCAGAACACATGTCCCCCTCAGTGCGGCCCAGCAGGCTGCTTGTCTCTAAGTCACTGCCCCCTCTAATCCCAGGCCTTGGCTACTGTCAGCCAAGATTGACCCAGGCGGCCACCGGCCTTCCCCCGTAGCCACGAAGTTCCACTCCACTTTTCCTGGTAACAGGCAGGATATCCTGCTCAGGGTCAGCTAAGGACACTGAACCTAGAAAGAGACCAAGGATTCCATTTTACCCAGGTCAAAGAAGAAACCGCACTGGGAATGCAGGGCCCTGAGAGGTAACTAAGATTGAGGTCTTCCCCAAGATGGCCTCTCAGTGTTCACAATCCCCAAACCACAGGGAAAGGGAAACATAGATGGGGGCCTGGGGAGGAGGCACCAGGCAGTGTCCCGTGGTACCAGATCCCAGCCAGGACTCCCCATATCAGTCTGGTCACCCCTGTCCCAGTGGTAGGTCCAGCGCCCTCAGTCGGACCCATCTGCACTGACAGCCTCGTAAAGACTCCCCATGCCCTGTTTCCCCAGCCAGCTGACTCTCAGGGCCTCAAAAGTCCTGGGCGCAGCTGGAGGCTCCTTCCTCCTCCCTGCTTTCTGTCTCTCCTCTTCCAACTCTGACTCAAGAGCCTCAGAGGCCTTCCCTGGTCAATCCTTCCAATTTCTCCTTCCTTCTACTCCTTGTGTCTCCTTAACACTCTGATGCGGTATGTGACACAACAGATTAAAATGGTGACCCTGCTGTCTGGGCCACAAGAAGAGTTACATTTGCCTTAGATGGCCTTTAAACAACTTTCATCTGTGCAGAGGGGTCAAGAAGACTTATTTTCTAAGCAGGTAGTGACCTAGGGGGTGGGGGAGTAGGGCAAGGAGTCATGGCGATTCCTTTTGGTGTTGCTCTGGACATGCTCTGATGCTTTCTCCTATCTCTTATGCCCCACACTGCCCGGGAAGGTCCCAAGGGAGACAGAGGTGTCCATAACACAGAGCCCTAGTCTACACCGGCAGAGGGGTATACCAGCTACCCACCTGGCACAGGCTAGCACACCCCCATCTCACCAGTCCCATCTTCATGGGGCCTTGCCCACGTGACCCTCACTCGGGGTCCACAAGGGTAGCAACCGTCAGAGGCCATTCTCAGTAGGGATTAGCTGACATCACTTTGCAGCTGGGTAAGTGTAGCCAGGGAGTGACCCTGCGTGCAGGCCTAGCAGGCTGACGTTCCGCAGACACCTTGCAGAAATACCACTCCGAAGTATGTGAACACCATTACAGAGTCTGTCAATTTCGTTCCCCCAGGGACAAGTCTGCTGTCATGACTGGAATGGAGGTGTCATACTTTGGGCGAAAGGGAGAGAGGAGAAGGGGGCAGGGCTGGGGGAGAGGCTAAGTGAACATGAGCAGCACAGAAACAGAAGGAAAAGAGACCTGTTTTTCCCCTCCACGATTTTGTGCCAGGTATTGTCCTCTTTAATCCTCACAACAACCCTCCCACATGGATATTAATATCCTTATTTAATGGATAAGGGAAGTAGAAAACAGGAAGGGGACTGCATAATTCACCCAAGGTCACACAACTCGTAGATGGTAGAATCAAGGATTCAGTCGAAACTTGTTTGAGGCCAAAATTCATCGTGGTTTTCCCATCCCAAAGAATGGGACCCAGGCACATCCCAGGTTACCGAAAGTGCAAGCTGACATTGGTGATTACTCTAACACACCTCCACATTCTGCCCCCCACACCCCAAAACACTTCACCTCCCAAGCCACTCAAAAGCAAGCAAATAATAAACAAGGGAAAACCAAAAGACGACCCACCATGTTGCAGATAAGAGGACCAAATGGCCAATTGTCTAAATGGGTGAAGAGGAGTGGGAGACACAGGCTTTCCATTATGGAGTGAATAAGTCATGGGAGTAAAAGGCACAGGGAATCTGGTCAATGCTATTGTACTAGCGTGGTGGACAACAGATCATAGCTACACTTGTGGTGAGCACAGCATAACACAGAGGGAAGTTGAATCCCTATGTCTTACACCTGAAACAAATGTCACATCATGTGTCACCTATACTCAAATAAAAACATAAAAAAAGAGAGAGAGAGAACCAACGACCAGAGGGGAGAAATGACTTGTCTGGAGTCACACAGCTAGTCAGTGGCAGAAGTGGGACTACAAACTAGAGGCACGTCCCAGGCTCCCACTCCAGTGCTCTTTCCAGACTGAGCCACAACCAGTCTACCTCCAGGGAAGGAAATCCCCCAGCCTTCCTGTTCCAATCTCTCTCCAATTGGTCCATTCCTTTCCAAGCTTTGGATTGCTTTCCTTAAGTGAAATAACCTATTGAAAGCACATAATAGGCACCAAAAATTATTATTCTTTCTCTTACCTGAACAAGTGAAACAGCCTTCTAACGAGGTCTATCTCCCCGCTGACCTCTAAAGCATCCACGCTCCACTGTCAAGATAACCTTGCACAATGGCTCTGTTCCTGTCATCCTTCTAAGGAAGAGGTTTCTGTCTCTCTCCTTCCTTATCAGACCTTCAAGACTCCCCACCCTGAGTCCCAGCCCAGTTCCCTGCATGCCCCCCAAATGAGGATGGTTATTAACCACTTCCCAGGGCCACGAGTTTTCCCACAAATCTTCAGTCATGCTAGTGCTTTCTCGAATATTCTCTGCCTTCCCCTCTACAAGTGCCTGCTCTTATATTTGAGGCTTCTCTCATCTACGACTGAAAGTGACTTTTGCTCTCCTTTGAACATCTCTAAACACATACAGCATTTATATTGTTTTGCATTACACCTACTAGTGATTAGAATAAAAATAATTTTTATCCACTTGGGTAATTTATAGTTACCAAGCATTTTCAGAGACACAAGCCCATTAATCTAAGAATAAAAATTACCTCTTATTTATCTTTGTCTTCCCCACGATGCTCAACACAATGTTTTACACCAGGGACAGAGCTGTTAAATACTGTGTTTGGAGGGT